TTTATCTTTGGTTGGGGATGTAGCTCAGTGGTGGGGCACTTGCCTGGCATTTCTGAGGCCCCGGGTTCAATCCCAAAGACCTTAAAAATCATATTTACCTCATGTGCTGAATTTTGGGTGACCCCTTCAGTTGAGTACTTGAGGTGATTGCCTCATTGCCTTCCAAAAGGGTAAAGATCACCTGCTTTTTTTTTTTTCCTTTCAAAGACTGAAAAATAGAAGTCACCATTAATTTACCTGGTGACAGAAAATAGGGATAAATGGCAAAGTCTGTGTAAATACAAATAGAGTCTTGGAATGATGACCCCCAACCCACGGAGGCTACAGAAGTCCCACTGGCCAGTCCCCCGCCCAGGGGGCCCTGTCTTCATCTCCTTGCACTAATCAGCTCCTCCTGTCTGAAGTCCCCTGTGCCTGCATTCCCCACTGAGTGCCCTTCCTTGCTAATGGTCTCCTCCGTGCCACATTCACTGGTATCCCCAAGGCAGAGCCCAGAGAGGTGATTAGGGCACAGGAGCATGAAAACAGGCTGCCGCAGACTTTCAGGGACACTCTCCCTGAGCTAACGGGAGCCCTGAGTCACAGATGCCAATTTCTGGGGACCACGGCCAGCTGCAGAGAGGCAATGCTCCGCCTTCCCCTGCCCCCTCTTCCTGAGGAGGGAATTCCAGTCCCTCCTCAGGAATACTCTCCCTCTTCTTCCAGCCCCAAGCTACAAAGGTGTCTGTGCCCAGCAGTCAGAGGGGTCTCCCTAAGAGGGAATTGTTAAATGGTCCTCTTTTCTTAGGAAGTGGTATAAACTCTCATGCGGCCATCCAGGACACAGGGTCATCCCCTGCTCAGTCTCCATGTACACTCTTCAGCCCCAGCCCTCCCGTCCCTCTGGCCAGCTGTGGCTAACCAACCACACGTGGACCTCAGAGCCCTTGTACGACCCCACCTTCTACCTGGGACACGCCTGCCTATCCCTGCACACCCCTAAGTCAGCCCTAACTGTCACTTCCTCAGGAAGCCCTTCCTGATGGCCACTGGGTCGCTGTCTCCATCACAACTTGCTCCTGCAACTCATCAATTTCCCTCAGAACTTTTGTCCCAATTTATCGTATGCATTAATTCACCACAAGATTCTCTGACTACCTCGTGGGGGGATTGGCTCCAGGCCCTCCCACAGACAGCAAAATCAGAGGATGCTCAAGTTCTTCACAAAACTGTGTGGCAGTGTACAGGACCTGTGCACATACACCTGTAGGCTTTAAATCCCCACTAGATGACTTAGAATACCTAATAAAATGCAAACACTATGTAAATAGTCATTGCACTGTATTATTTGGGGGAATATTGGCAAGAAAAATCTGTATGGGTTCAGTACAGATGCCACTTTTTAAGATTTTCATCCCCCAGTTGGTTGACTCGGGGGTGTAGCATGGCATGCCGAGGGCTGGTTCTGCTTCCTTCCTCTCTGTCTTCCCTCTCAAGTGTGAGCACTGAGATTAGGGATCTTGTCTAAGTGGTTCAGTGTTATATCCCCTGTGGTGTCCTGGCACACAGTAGGTGCTCTGTCAATGTTTGTTGAGTGAGTGTGGTGAGGTTGGTCATCTTTGGTCCTGCGGACAGGAGGGGTTGTGGGGAGGCTATCCTGTGTGCTGTAGGACACTAAGCAGCACCCCTGTCTTTGGCCCGTGAGACGGTGTGGAACATCTCCACCTCTCTGTTGTAACCTAAAAGGACTCAGGAACTTGCAAATGTCCCCTGATGGGGGGTAGAATTGCCCCTGGGTGAGAACCACTGATACGTGGATAAGGGAACACCTAGCTGACACATCTCAGGCCACAACAGGCTTGCCTCTGTCAGTACTCTCAGAATTTGGTCCAGCGATGGTTAATTACATGTGTCAATTGGACTGGATCATGGGATGTCGGGATGCCTAATTAGACTTAATTTCTTAGTGTGTCTGTGGGGTGTTTCTGGAAGAGATTACGATTGCAACTGGTACACTGAAAAGTAGATGGCCCGCCCCAATCTAGAAGGGCATCACCTAATCTGTTGAGGGACTGAGTAGAACATGAAAACCAAGATTGGATTCATGCTCCTGCCTCCTGTCTGCATGAGCAGGGACATCGATCTTCCTCTCTCTTTGGTGCTCCTGGTTCTCAGGCCTGGAGTCCCAGGTTGGAATGCTCACTCTCGGGTCTCTGCTCTTGGGCATTTGAACTGCAGCACTGTTTTTCTGTCTTCAGTGTGCAGTTTTGTTTTCGTGAGACTTTTCAACCTCTATGATTACATGAACCCATATCTTATAGTAAATATTTATCTGCCTATCAACTACCTACATCTATATGTCTATATCTTATTGTTTCTGGGTCTCTGGAGAACCATGACCAATACAGCAATATTAATACATAATATTTCTGTGAGTCATTTCATCAAGCCTCCTGGGAATAACTTAAAGGTCAGGAGCAATGACAGATGCCTCCCTGTGCCCCAAAGTGAACATAGGTCTTGAGATATAGAGGCCACTGATACTTACTACGTTAACATTGAGAAACTGGCATTTATTGGGTCTGTATGGATGCCAGACACTGTCAACTGCCCTACACAGAAGGTGCTATTCAGTTTTGAGAACCATCTTAAAACGTGTACATATTATTATTAAAACCCAATTTAATGATGGAAAACTGATCCTGCTAGATAACAGGCGATTTACCCAGGAGCAATTTGCTTTATCACTTAAGCAGTACTCATCCCTACCCGCAGGTCAGCATTTCTCAGCCTCTGAGAGTGTAAGGTGTCATCTATTTCACTTCCTGTCAGCTGTTGCCTTGGAGATGAGTCATGGGGACATTTCACAGATGCTTGGAGCCAAACAGCAAAGTCAGTTCCTGGAGAAAGGGCTTTCGGGAAAAGAGGGGTTGGTCATGACCCTCAGGTGGTTCTGGAATGAACGAGGTGATCTAATGATGAAGCTTGCAGCCCAAGGATGCACAGTATGGTGGGAGATATCCACTTCTCCCGTGATACCCCTGCTGATGCATAGCCTTTCAGGTGCTATCCCACAACCCTGCTTCACTGAGCACCAAGATGGACATGCAGTACAGAAAACCTTGATACCTGACAGGACTTCCAAAGAGGAAGGGGCTCTGGTGAAGTATCCAGTTGGAGTGGGTTTAATGGTTGCCTTGTGTTCCATTGTATTAACGAGCCACCATTTCTTTAATGGCCCTTTACTCATGATTTATCTCGTGTTTTCCAGTCATAAATGTCACTGCTCTGAACACCTTTTTGTTTACACAGATGTGGAACAAATCTATGAGGCACTGACATAACCAAGCATCCGTTCTAATCAGGAGTCAAGATTTGAACCTGGATCCGTCTGCCTGAAACATGCTTTCCCATGGCTCTGGAGAGCAATGAGATTTCTCAGTAAATACATAAGCAAATATTCTGGTTTGTTCAGTGGGGTAGGGAATTAATTAGTCCACCCTAGAAATATTTGTTTAGAATTGATTGTATGTTCCAACAACCATGCTGGTTCTGGAACGAATGAGGTGATCTAATGATGAAGCTTGCAGCCCAAGGATGCACTGTGTGGTACGAGATATCCAGAGCTCAACTCACAGCCAGTGCCCGTCCATTTCCCAGGTTCCTTATTCATTAGGATATCACTGGGCTCAGGGGCCAGATGGATCTTACTTATTTTAAAATCATGACTCCTGAATTCATCAAAATTTTCCTCAGTGTGCCTAGGACATAAGCTCCAGTACAAAATGGGTCACTATTGAGCTCCTGTGCCATTAAATAAGGATGTTGGGGTATTTGATTTGGAGAATGGACAGTCTCCCTGGAATTGGGATCCACAGAACCTCCTGTAGGAAGATACTGCATAAAGCCCTGAATGGAGAGGACATGGAGTCCACAAAGACCCTGCGTGACGCCTGGATCATCCGTGTCATGTGAACTTGAGTGAATCATGCAGATTTGGAGCTTTAGTTTCCCCCTTTAAAATGGAGCATGTGTGTGGTTCTGTTTGTTGCCGCATGAGGCTGTGAGGACACCCTGTGCCCGAGCATGAGGTGCAACATCATCCTGCAAAGGGGGCTTCTCTGGATTCCCCATTGTGATTGAAATTGTTCCCTGCTTCCTGCCACTTGATGTCATCCCAGGATTTCTTTTTATTGCTAAAGAGATAGAGACAGACTGAATTTATACTTAGAACAAACGATGTAGTCTGCTATTCAACTTAAATGCAAAAACACCTAATTTTAGCAAATTATAAATACTCTTCAGTGGGATCGACCTGTAATCCCTCTTCATGGAGAAACAGATGTGCATTAAGCCCATCTGACCATGAGATAAAATAAATTTTCATCCTGCGCTCTGAACTCATTGTCCTTGTCCCCCAGAGTTTCCTGCTGGCCCATGCACTATGTCGCCATCTAGCACAGTGGACGGTATCTCACAATAGGGCACTTTTACTTGAACCAACCACAAAGGCATTTCTGTCTGTAAGTATTCAAGATCCACACCTGAAGCATCAAGGTTTCCTCAGCTCTTTCCCCTGAATCTGATTGTTGCTGTTTCTAACTCATATTGCACAGATTTGGGCAATGCTGAACTGTAGGGTGTTTTGCTCTCCTCTGTGTTACTGATGGTAGTTTTTGATACACTTGAAAATCTGAGTCACTCCTCCCTGGTGCTGCCAGGTACAAGTGGAGCTGATGTCTGCCGCTTCTCATGGCATTGAAGGTTTGTGCCACTGGAAATCTTAGATGACTCTGGATTTTGGCATGTGGAAAACAGGTTAGAGGTTTGGTTCTGATCAAGTGTCCTGTTGCAGATAGAAGTAGTCAAATATCATTGTCTCTGTGTTATTACCTCACATATCCTTCTGTCCCAAATAGATACCTGATGTTGATTAACCCCCAGTGTACACACTCAGATATTTCTTGCAAAGAAACCTGAAAACATCTAAAAAATATAGGTTAGTTCATGTTGGTGGAGCATCATCTCTAACAGTGGAATTTGGAAACCCAATTTAGTTACTCCAAGGGACTCCTCCCAGAGCATCATATTTTTTCTGGGTAGAGTTTGCTGAGCAAGGTCTTCTTCATGGTGACCTTCAGCTCCTTGTTCCTGAGGCTGAAGATGATGGGGCTGAGGAAGGGCGTGAGGACCGTGTAGGTGATGCCCATCAAGGTGTCTCCTTCCAGGGACTGTGGTCCCTTGGGCTTGAGGTAGATGACAGAGGCAAAGCCGTAGTGCACGATCACCACTGTGAGGTGGGAAGCACAGGTGGAGAAGGCCTTGTGCCGCCCCTCTGCTGATGAGATCCTCAAGATGGCGGCCACGATGAAGGTGTAGGAGAGGAGGATGAGGAGGAAGCAGCCCAGCAGGGCCGTGATGCACACCAGGCCCACACCTTTGGCCACCACTGGGACATCCTCCCCACAGGCCAGCTTCAACAGGGGTGGGACGTGGCARRMRAARTGKTGGACCTCRTTGGGTCCACAGAAGGTGAGATGGAAAATGGCCATTGTCACCACCAGCCCCATGACAGARCCACCTGCCCAGGACCAGGCCACCAGGCAGGCACAGGCACGGGGGCTCATGAGCATGTTGTAGCGCAGTGGATGGCAGATGGCCACGTAGCGGTCATAGCCCATGATGGTGAGCAGGAAGGAGTGGGTGAAGCCAAATGTGAAAGAGAAGAACATCTGGTTGCCGCAGGCGACAAAGGCGATGGAGTGGTGGGCGGAGAGCAGGTCAGCCAGCATGCGGGGGATGATGGCCAAGGTGTAGAGGATCTCGGAGATGGAGAGGGCGCACAGGAAGAGGTACATGGGGGTGTGGAGGCTGCGCTCGCCCCAGATGGTGGCCATGATGAGCAGGTTGCCCAGCAGCGTGAAGAGGTACATGAGCAGGAAGAGCAGGAAGAACATCAGCTGGAGGTGGGGGAAGGTGGAGAAGCCGATGAGGATGAACTCGGACACAGCTGAGCGATTGGCTCTCTGCATGGAGGCTGTGCCTGGGTGAGGTGTGGAGGGAGCAGTCAGCTACAGGATGGAGGAGGGTCAGCAGTGTTCACCTTTCCTGGACCTGCCAGCAGCTGAGCTTGATAAAGAATAACAGGTGGCATTAATTTCTTTCCCACTGTTTCCTCCTGTAACCAATGCTCTCCTCAGTTTAGGAGGATCCAACTTTTTTCACCTCATCACACTCTTTTGAGAAGACTGGGATGTAGAAGGGCTGGGCAAGTTCTCAAGGTCAAGCTGTTAAAATGGCCAACCCAAGACTTGCACTGAGGGGTGGCTGGACTATACCCTTCGCTATTCCTCCCTGTTGTTCCCCCCCATTGAAAATGTCCGTTTCCTGTAGCCTCCAGCCATTGCTTTCCTGCCCAGCTATTTCTTTGTGTTCAATCCTGTTCTCCCCACAGCTTCAGGTGCCACAAGATTTTTCCCGCCCATGGTGTCAGCTCCTGGGACCGGGTGCATCTCCAATTTAATTTAAGTCAATCAGATTCTTCTTCTGAGGTTATCCATGTGGACAATCAGAAGGACAGGTGACAGACTGAGGTTGTGAGGAAAGAGCCAGAAGTAACACTGTGCTGTTTTCCAACTCCTGTGAGGCACATCTGTGTTCTGAGACAATGCCACACAACCATCAGACAGGAGGAGGCAGGCATTAGCAGACTCAAGTTCAAATCTCTACTCCCCTACTGCGTAATTTGAGCAAGTTTCTTCATTTCTCTGCAACTGTTTCCCTTCCCCACCTCAAAGTGTTGTTAGGTGAAATAAATGAGTTATTTGAGAGTGCCAACCCAGGAGCTGTGACATATGATAACTAGATCAATACAATAAGTGAGCAAATGTGTATGGTTTGTGCTTAGTAAATAATCCCAATTTAATGAGATTTCAGTGTTTCTAGATGAATCACTGAACCATATTTAAATTATCTTTTTTTTTTCAAATTAGACAATAAAAAGTTTAAAAAGTAAACCACTCGTCTGCTTTCTGTTTCCACGGTTGGCCCGTTCTAAACATTTCATAAAAATGTGTGACAGCGTTGTCTGATTTCTTTTGTTCAACGTGGGGTTTCAAGGTTCATCCACATTGTAGCTGCATTGTGACTTTGTTCCTTTCTGTGGCCACACGATATTCCACTATGTGAATGTACTTCACCACCTGATGGACATTTGGATTGTTTTTTCCTTCTGGCTTTGGTGATAGTGCTGCAGAGAACATGCTGGAGGAACTTAAGGCAGACGAGGGGTTTCCAGAGACCGGGGCAAGGGGGATGGGTAGTAACTGCTAACGAACAGTGTTTTCCTTGGGGGAGATGAAAATGTCCGGCACTAGATGGAGAAGATGAGTTGTAAAACACTGCAGAGAGCAGGTCAGCCGGCAAATGTACTTAATGCCGCTGGATCTTAAACATTACTTATATTTTAAGTTTTTTTTTCAATTCTACATGACAGTAGAATCCATTTTGATATGATTATACATTATTTATTTTGTGATGGTTTACTTTAAAATTTTTTGTTATAATTTTTATTGGCTAATCATAATTGTATGTGTTTATCACACATGATGTGTTTTGATATATGTATTCATTGTTACATAATCAAGCTCATGGCCACATTCATGACCTAAGTAATCTGTTCTTTTTAATATTTAAAAATTGTGTGTGTGTGTGTGTGTGTGTTTGCCAGGGTTTGAACCCAGGTTTCATGCTTGCTAGGCAAGCACTCTACCAGTGAGCTCCACCCTCAGCCCTTGATGATTCTTTTGTGATGACATTTAAAATTTGTTCTCTGGTGCTGGGGATGTGGCTTAAGCGGTAGCGCGCTCGCCTGGCATGCGTGCGGCCCGGGTTGGATCCTCAGCACCACATACAAACAAAGATGTTGTGTCCGCCGAAAACTAAAAAAAATAAATATTAAAATTCCCTCTCTCTCTCTCCCTCTTAAAAAAAAAAGTTAAAAAAAATAAAATTTGTTCTCTGGGTGATTTTGAGCTGTATAATACATGATTATTGACTACAGTCACCCTGCTGTGCGATAGAGCTCAACACCCAGTCCTCCCGTCATTTTGAACCTTTGTGCTCTTTGATCAACCTCCCTATTCCCTCTCTCTCTACGCCTTCACCTCCAGCCTCAAAAAACAGTTAAATGGTCCATTTTTATATGTATTTTCCACCATAAAATTTCATTGCTGTGGCTTGGGATGCAGCTCAGTGGTAGAGCTCTTGCCACACATACCCGAGGCCCTGGATTCAATCCCAGCACTGGAAAAAAAATCCATTTTAAAAAGGCACTTGCATGAGTCACCTTTCCATGAGTGTTGACAAATAACTCAGTAAATCAAATGAAGGAGAGGGAAGGTTTATTTTGGCTCATGTTTTTCAAAGTTTCAGTCCATGACCAACTGATCCCATTAACCTGGGCCTGTGGTAGCACGTCACGGCAGGAGTGTGTGGAGAAGCCCATTCACCTCATGGATGGTGTGAAGGAGACAGGGGTCCCACAGTCCCTTTGGTGGCATGCCAGAATGACCTAAAACCTCCCACTTGGCCCCAAATGCCAAGGGCTCCAGCACCTCCCAGCAGCACCAGAGTCTGGGGACCAAGCCTTAACATGGCCCTCTGGGGACTTTCAAGCAGTAGTGAGTGGCTCTTCAGTTGGCTTAGGCCCTGGATCAAGCCCTGACAGGTTCATCATGAGCATCAGGAAGAACCAGTTACTTTGGAGAGTGGAAGCTGCATCCCCAAGTACTTCCACCTCCCATTTTGGGGCCTCTCTTCCTGGAATTGCTTTCTTCTTTCCCCCACTTTGAGGTCATCATCTGCCATTGCTCCCCAGGACGGTGCCCAACAGTGCCACACAGTCCTGCCACTCTGAAATCATAGAGGGGTGAGTGGCTGGGAAATGAAATCCTCCAAGAGACCATGAATGACACTGGGAGATGCGTGCCAAGCTCACAGGCCCTCTGTGGCTCCCCAGTGTCTAGGGCAGGGTTACTCACACTTGGAAATATGAGTGTTTAGGGCGAGATCATTCCGGGAGGGGCCTGTGCCTGTGGGATGTATAGCAGTGTCTGGTCTTGACCAGCTAGATAGCAGACTCGGATCCAATGTGACAAACGAAAAATGTCTCCATACAACACGGGTGTCCTCGTGGGGTGCCACGGGGCATGGTTGAGAACCCAGAGTGCAGCTTCACCTGTTGGCATGCCACTCTACCGCCCAGGCCCCGTCTTCCCCCTTTGCACTTGGCATGTGCCTGTTTCTCTTTGAGATTCAGTTTCAGGGCTGGGCTTGTGGATCAGTGGTAGCGTGTTCACCTAGCACGTGTGAGGCCCTGGGTTCGATCCTCAGCACCACATAAAAATAAGTAAATAAAAATAAAGATATTTCTAAAATATTTCAGTGTCAGTTCCTTTGTCCCACACTCCTGAAAGTTTCTTCCCAAAAAACATTTAGTCACTTCTTCCCAAACAAAAATTCCTACATGACTCTAAAACTCCTTGCTTATGACTTTGTCCTGCCATTCATCTGTCACCACGTTGGAACCATATCTACCCTTCACTGGACTGGGGGTCCTTAATGTCAGGGACTCTTATCTCTACAGAACTCAACAGCAATGCCCCAGTCAGAACAGCTGCCCTTGGTTGGATGCTTCCGTTGGACTAAGCATCTCTCAGGTGGTCCTTAAATCTTTTCCTGTGAAACTCCGCCCCACCACCACCCCATTTTGCAGATGGAGAAGCTGAATCCCACAGAGGAACTGTCACTTACCAGGGTGCCATGACTCTAGAACACGGGTGCCAGGATCTGAACTTAGATCTGACTGACCCCAAAGCTTGCTTTTTTCTGGCCTCTTCTTGTTGCTCATGGCTTACTGGAGGCTGTGGAGTGTCGGGGCCATGCTGAGGTCAAGGAGACACCCCTCCCCATGGCTACACCCACACTCTCACTCCTCATATCTCTGAAGACCCCAAACACCCATAGAAAGAAAGAACTCTGAGAAGAGCTGCTTCCCTCTGGAGAAATGTGCAGGGCAGCTACGCTTCCCTCTGGAATGACGAGGCTCTCGGGATGCAGCTACAAGGGGCACCTGCTCATTCTGAAAAAACGCACCATCATGGAGACAAAGGAAGGTCTCTGGCTGCCAGGGAATCGTGGGGTCAGAGGGAGGAACAGGAAGGGCACAGAGAATTCTTAAGGTGGTGGAACTATGCTGTAGGGCACTGTAGAGACAGATTCTTGACATTGTGTGTTTGTCAAAACCCAGGGAGTTCACAACACTATGAGTGACACTGCATAGAAATGTAGATTTTAGTGAGAGGGACAAAAAAGACAAAAAACAGAAAGAGAGGGGAGAGAGAGAGAGAGGAAGATGAAGGAGGAAGAGAAACACGGAAGAGGACTTTCTGACACTAGGGGAACCCACAGCAAGGTCAGCTCTCTGCCCAGAGACTTGGGGACCACGCTCAGGGAGGCAAGTCCTGCCCACAAGTGTCCTTGCAGTGGGGTTTCCCAACTTTAGCATTAGGGACATTTAAAACAGGACTGTTCTTTTCTCATATTATTTTTGATAGACTTATCATAATTGTAGGCATTTATGGGGTACATAAGTGATGTTTTGATTTAACATGTCATGATTAAATCAAACCATGGCCGTATCCATTGCCTCTTTTATTGTTTTTATGTGAGCTATTTGAAACACAGTCTCTTTTATTTTATTAGTTGTAGATGGACACAATACTTTTGTTTACTTTTATGTGTGCCAGGTTCGAACCCAGTGCCTCACACAGGCTAGGCAAGCGCTCTACCACTGAGCCCCAGCCACTCTTAGTTACCTGACATGGATTTGCGTTACCATTGAGGAGAGTCACCCTGCTGGGCAGCGGATCCCAAAACTTACTCCTGCAGTCTAATGGGAACTCCACCACCCACCATCAATAATTCTGCATTCCCTCCCTCCCAGCTACACCCTCAGTGCCTGATAACCAGCCAGCCAGGCCCAGAGAGACAGATCGATCGCTCATGATCCCCTTCATACGTGGGGATCTGAACAGTTGAATTCACAGGCAGA